AAGATTATCAGAAGGGAACAATAAACATATTTCAATCCATCAGAATAATGGAGTGTTGCATCCCCATGACTGGCCTCTGTAGAGATTTCTTCTTCAACGCATCCCACACCCTTCACACTCACCCACCCAACATGTGCACACAGTCCAGATCTAAATCTCATACCGAGGCAGACGTCTCAGTACTCGCCAATTGCACTAGGTATGCAAGATCTTGGATAACACAGTCTTATCAAATTTAAATACAAAACATTCATACCGTTAGGCTTGTACCATCAGTTACAGAAAACCAATGATGTCACCTCCTTGTATTGTGGACAGGCTTTTGAGCCTCATGTGCAAGACATTACAACCATAAAACAACATTTCAGCTGCTTAGCCCTCAGGAGTGGCTCAACATGAAAAATTAAACAAAACACTTTTTTTCTGCCTTTCAGCCCTAAATTAACCACTGCTTGTTCCTTTGCAGCCTGCAGACCTATGCACAGAGAAATACTGCAATGCTGCATTCTGTGTGGTCTGTGTTTTTTCAAGAATGGATTATTGCTCTACACAGCTTACATGGGTTTCTAAAACTACACATAAGTTGTAATAAGTTCAGAACTCAACATCTAACCAGGTAACAGACAAGCCCACATCAGATGCTTTAAAGCCAAAGTACTTTTTCATTGACTGTTGTTGTCAAACCTTAGCCTTGAGAACAGGTCATGTGCAAGAAATCACATCACTCCTATCCTGGAATCCCTGCACTGGCTTCCTGTCAGGTTTTGAATTAATTTTGAGATCCTTCTGCTTATATTCAAAGCTCCACATGCCTGATCTCCCCAGGATCTAGCTGACATTCAGTCTGTTCACTCCCCTCCACATGACCTTTGATCAGCTGACTCGGGTTTTCTGTGTGACCCCACTGTGCATCTCCACTCTATGGGTGCAGGGCCTCGTGTCGCTGTACCCCAAAGCTGTGGAACTCCACCTCAAAATCAACCTGGGACTCAGCCACACAACTTCACTTTGAAGTCGCAAAACATAACTTTTCAGAAAATCGTTTTTTGTGTGCGATTATTTTAATATATGACGATCCTGCACCCACTTTGCATTCAGCTTTGTGATCAAACGAAAGCAAAGTACGAAATGTGTGTTTTGTGTATTGCAAAGCACTTTGAGACGATTGCCTTTAAAGGCGTTCTAGAAGAATGTCCTATTCTTCTTACTGTTATTATTAATAAAAACAAACTCTGGGAAGCACAGCATAATAAGCAATTGTTTCCAGCATCAGGTTGCTGGTGGTTATCTGCCGCTGGGCGTTGAGGAAGGAAATATGGTTATCCTGAAACACAAAGGAAGGGAATAGCTCCGGATCGTCCTGGAATGGGCACAGGCTACTTACTGGTGATGTCATTTCCCCACTCAGAAACATTCCACTGACAACCTGCTTCACGGAATGGGGCTTACCAAATAAAAAAAAAAAAACACTTCTGCCAAAAAACTCAATACCAGATGGATCGACTCTGAGCCACCTGCAGAAATCAGGGCTCAAAGCTGGAAGACCCTGGAGGGAGTTGCTGCTTGGGAAGATAAACAGCTACTGTACGCTTTAGAGACGGGGGATGACACTTCAAAACAAGGTGCCCCACTGAGCTGCCTGACTGTAGCTAACACAGAGCCGCTAGCAGAGCATCAGGGGACAAGCAGGGCGGGATTTTCAACTCCACGTTCTGCTTCCACACAGAGAGAGATTCTGCTAATGTAGCGCTGGGCGAGGTATCAGTTTGGTGCGATTTTGAGACTGTGACAGACGAGGAGCAATCACCCCCCAGTCTGTCGGTCTCTCTTAGTCACCCCCTGCGCGGATCTCCCGTGCTCGCCGTTGAGTTCTGTACCTCTAGCTGCGATCCTGGGGCGATGACTGTCTCCGCCCTCGGCTAACTTCATCTAAACAGGAACCGGCGTGTAAAGAAAATATATATATATAACAACAGCACGGCCGTCCGGTTACTAAAAGCAGACAGGGGGAGGTTAAAAATAAACAGATCTCTGATTCTTATTTTTTCCTGGCGAATCGGGGCTGCACGGAGGGGAACAGACCTGGCTGAAGGAAGGACTTCCAGCGGATGGCGGATGAAGCCAAGAGGGGCGATGGGGGCGGAAACAGGCCTGCGAGGCCCCGGCCTTCACCTGCTGCTCCGGCAGGGGACGGGGAAAGGGAAGGGGAAGGAGATGGTGCTCGCCGGAGCTGAGGAAGCGGTCGCAGAGTCCCCAGCTCCAGTCTGAGGCCTCCAGGGAGCCGGGGGGAGGGGAGGAAGGGAGGGGGAGGGGGTTTGTGGGTCAGTGGATCGGTCTGCGACTCTCAGAGCACGCGCCCCGCCCTGCTAGGCCGCGCGGCTGTGGAAACTCCGCTGCCCTCCTAGCCGTCCCCACCCATCCTGTGAGTGCGGAGTCACGCTGGCAGCCCGACAGGCCGGCCGCATCAGCGCAGAGCTCCGCTTCCCACAGACTACTGAGTCACACCAGGAGGTCCCGTTTCTGGAGAGGAGAGGGAGCAGGAACACAGAGCCGTCTCCGGTGAGGTCCTATTAATCACCAGGCTAGAGGGAGGAACTACCCTGCGCAGGTCTTCAGAAAACCTGTCCTGTAGCTCTGTGTCTGTCTCTCTTTCAACTCCCTTCATTCTCTCGATCATCCCACATCTGGCCCTCTCTCTTTTTTTTGTTTGTTTGTTCCAGGTTGCTTCCTCCTGCTCTGGGGCGGATGAAGTTCGTGGCCATCTTCTCCCGCGATTCGCAGAGAAGCCGAGAGGCGGAAGGCCGGCAGAAAGAAACCCAGGCGGACTCTCGGTGGCGCTCAGGAGAAAAGAAGGAAGGAAAGAAGAGCCGGCTCGCCTCGTGGGTTTCAAGGGCGAACCCGCGAGGCCCCGGAGCCAGCAAGACCCGTCTTAACGCAGCCCAGGGGGTGCAGACACCTCCGAAGGAAAGTCTGTTCGTCGAGTCTCCGGTTCACAACACAATGGAGGACGGGAGGCCACCCGTTCTCGAGATTGGCCTAGGAAATCCATCAGTGCAGATAAAATATCAAACAATGAGACACAAAGGGGAATATCCCTTTCTTCCCCAGTTCAGTCTTAATCCCTTTTAACTGTCCATTACAGATTTATTCTCTTTTTTTTTTACTGGATTGCCAGGGAGATCTGGTTTCATGGGGGTGGGATATGGAGGGGGGTGGTGTTGTGGCAGGTTGTTACATTTTAAACACGTCAGATGCTGTAGGCTCCCCGTTTCAGGAAAAAAAGCCTTCAGATTCAGCGCATCCGTGTGAGGGCAGGAAAATTGATACAGGACCTCCCGCCCACGGCGGCGATCCCTGCCAAAGTTAAAATAAAACAGCCATCACACGGAGCCAGGCATTGATACAACAATGAGATTGAGAGGGGATCTTAAAGCTACAGGCCCCCGAACTGCGCGTCGCTCGAGGGAGAGATCCTTACCTTATAAAGTCAAGCTCCGCTTATTATAAACAAGGCTTCAAAGCTCCCTGTCAAGTGTCACTGCACGCAAACTGATCTTTCTGAACCGCGGGACGCTCCTCGCCCAGGCCCTCCGCACAGTTTTAATGAGCACGAAAATCTGCTCGCAAATCTGAGAGAGCACTGAGGTTAACACAAAAAGAGGCACAGTTTCACACGAGGCAGCAACGGGCTGCTGCGGTTTCATCGGGGCGATGTTTTAGGCGCTGGCAGTGGCCGTGGGGACAGCGCCAAGATCCGGCCCGTTGTTAGCGCCCGGAGCGCGTTGCAGGGGCCGGTCAGCAGTTTGCATCATCTCGCCCTGAGCGGCTCAGCGCTCGGCTCTGACGCTTCGTTCGTGGGGCGTCTCGCCTCCGCGACTCAACTCGCCGGAGCAGCCGGCCCGCTACCATGCCGCAATGGGAGTTCAAATAAAGGTGGAAATTTGACAGAAAGGCGAGCCCTAGTTCACTACAAGCAAAGGGATAGCCGGCATTAACCCGAGTGCAGACTTTAGAGACCCTTTTGTTTTACTACAGAAACTTCGTTACCGTTATGATTACTATGAGGCAACTCGCACGCACTCGGCGCAGCCACACACGCGTTCAAGTCCCGCGGCAGGTCCGGTCACCTGCGACAGCAGCGCGCTGCGAGCGGACTCGCCCGTCCGTCGCTCACAGGTGCTGCTACGAGTCGCGCTTCCCAATTCCAAGTCCCTGCGTCAGCGACCCACACCTGGGACTCGCCTACAGCCGGCCCGGACGGGTCTGCCCGAATTCGTCGTTTCTACAGCGGTACTGCCGAAAACATTTCCAGCAGACGGTGTTGTCAAACGTACCCCAAGCCGTGTAGCGACCGGCGCAGGAAGGGAGGGAGACACAACCTCCAACACAATCCTGGACAACGACTGTCTCGTCACCTGTCGCTCCCGAGCGGAATTTTTAAAACTGCGTCAACATCGTTATAAACAACGGAGCGTTTCCAAGATTTTTTGGTAAAGGATAATGAAAAAACAAACAAGAAAGGCAAGCTGCTACAGAATTTGAAGCAACAAGTTTAGGGGGAAAAAAGGCAGAAAACACGCAGTGTTTTTGGTTACTTACAGTTGCTACTCTCCATGTCGGCTGGTGTATTTTCCCCTTAACTGGAGAGACTACCAAAGTTTTGTCCGGAGTTCATGATAGAGTGCAGCAGGTCCCGCGTCCCGTTTAATGACAGATGCCGTTTGATACAGTCAATGAACTTCCAGTAGTTCCTACTTCCTCAGTCTTTCTCCGCCGGGTCCTAGTGCCAACACTCTACCCATCCGCAAAGTGTTACAAACGACAGGAGAACTTAATTTTCCCTTTGCCTGTGGTTTCAGTAAGGTAATCCGCTCGAATATTTTGCGGAACTGGCTGTTATTAGAAATAGGTATAAAAAAAAAAGATCAAGGCTTTTGCAAGCGTTATAATTGAAACGTTTGCTTGGCGTTGCTTTTTAAAATAACACCTCTGAAACGCTGTTACACATGAAAACAGCATTTTATTTAAATATAAGATATACATCATTTGTTGATACAGTACTGACAGTTAAATAAAGCGGTTAGGTTGTTGTATACAGTTACAAAAAGAAAACAGAAAAAAATGTACAATTCAAAAATACCATTTTGTAGTAACTAACTTCTTTAGTACAGAGACACTACTCTGGTAAGTAGCTTGGTCATTGGACACTTGGTTAGGTTAGGTAACACTCCAGGACACTCTGCCTTCCACAGACACCGCTGGCCGTGCGCGTCATGAGAAAAAGGCAGGTTAATATTGCAGGTGGAAGTGTCTAGAAATATGTCAGTTAACGTGGTAAATGTACTGTACGATAAACATTCATTTGCAAAATAATGTTCCTAATATTCCTACAGCAGTGAAGTCTAACTCAGGGCTGGAGGGCTGTTCCACTGATGGACGAGCACATTAAAGCTATGTAAGCTATGGGCTTTATGTGTTACAGCACAGCTTGTGCTGACTTACTTAGACACTTCGTTACTGCAGTGTCCCTTTGGGCAGTGACTTCATATTGTGCATCATAAACTCTGCACCCATCACACCATGCCCCCAGGTGTTCATCGGTGCAAGGTGTTGATTCGGCATAGGAGTGAAACAAAGCACAGAGAATGAAAAAGGAAATCCATCAGGGGTGACCGATTCTGGACCTGGGGAACCACAGGTTTTCTGGGTAACCCTAAACCAGGGGCAGGCAACCAGGGGAGTCCCAGTCCTATCTTGGCTTCAGGTAATCGGTAATCAACCAAATGGTTTTGAGCAGTTAGGTGGAGTAAACAATTAAGGGTCAAGTCCTGTTATTAATTGATTGGAAGGTTCAAAGGCACTAAACTCATTCCTCCTTGCACCTGAGAACACTTTCATTGTGACCACTTAGGCAGTTAAGTACTTCACTCAACACTCACCCATCTACCCAATCATCCATTCATCTACCCAATCATCCAATCATTTATCCACTCATCCATTCATTCATCCGCTCGTGGACCCATTCATCCACCCATCTATCTATCCACTCATCCATTCATCTACCCATTCATCCATTCATTCATCCGCCCATCTACCCTCTCATCCATTCACCCCCCCCATAAACTGATCCATTCATTTATCCATCCGCTCTTCCATGAAAATATCACCGTCCTACAGCTCTCAAGGAGCACAGTTGGGCTCTCCTGGCTTAACGAACTGATGCATTTAATGCAGCGATCCAATCTCTAGTGCGTCCTTACGAGCTGATGATTGCAGAGTGACCAGCGGTATATACCCGCAGGACTGTGGTTCTACACAACCAGAGAGGGCCACCCACTGAAATCCCATCATGAACGCACACTGCCCTGCTCAGTGCACACCAACTGTTCAGAGGACCGCAAGTCAATACAGCCTGATTTGCACTGGCAACGTTCTGGCTGACTTAAGAAACATCTGTCAGTGTTAAACAGCCCGAAGAGAAACTATGAAAATTTGGTTATTTTTATGCTATGTTGTTCAAAGCCTGGACCCCTAAATAAAGTCTTCTTTTTTCATTTAACCCCCCTCCCCTGAAGCCCAGGGATTGCTGCTCTACTGAAAAGCGACCCAGCCCTCTTTCAGGTGTTATTCTGAGCCTGGGACGCGTGGATATTTTACCATGTAAGTACGTGGCACCACCTGCGCCTGCAGTGGAGGATTGGTCTTCCCAGAGCTCTGTGACCTACGGGTGGTTGCAAAGCAGCAGTGTTCCACCATCTCATCTGTACTGTCGTTCACACCCTACAGTTGTCTAAAACTTCAAATACATTCTTCAGAAAAACAAATAACAGAGTTCACTTCAGTTTGTCTGCAAAGGAAATAACATTCAGTGCTTAAGCTCCGCACTGCAGTCTGAGAAGGTAAGCAATGCACTTCTCTCCATGCAATTTGCCAAACAGAGTGTGGACACATCTTGATCTGTGCGTGCACAACTTTTTTCATGTCGCATACAGAACTCCTTATCTTACTTTGGTTTTACGTCTTTAGGAAAACGCATGATTGCACACTAAAACGGAACTCCGTGCTTTGAATCTATGGAAGTTACAAGCTCCAGAGAGAAACAGTTTAACAGTAACAAGTCTATTTCAGCTTTCTTTAAGAGTACGCTGTTGAAACAGTCATGGAATTATTTCGACTTTGAGCCTCATTGCAATTAAAGGGAGCTGGAGCAACGCCTCCAATTTCAGCTTAAGTGTTTTTAAAGTTTTGTTGTACAGAAAATGTGCAGGATTTTCACTCGGCATTGTTCTCCTTGAGTCTTTCAGATACAATGCCAACATTTCTGTCATTTGTGTCGGCTGTTGCAAAGTTAGGATTTAATGAGGCCCAGCCTGACCAGTTTCGAACTGTAATGAGCGTTCAACACAGATGCTAATGGGTAATGACGCAGGCAGAAATCACAGTCACTTTGAGGAGTAAAAGGAAAGCAAAATATGTTTTATATAATATAATTGCAAAGGGGGCCTTTTAGGTGGGCTGTGCCCAACTCTGTTTGGCTTCGATTCCAAATGCAGCGTTTCCATTTTCTTCAGCCGTGACACCAATAACCCGGGGACACTCTCTGTCGGCGCTCGCTGGTATCAAAACAGTCTCGCCTGCTTCTTCAGCTCGTTCCTCTTCCACAGCGCCAGGCGGTCAAAGTCCACGATGCTCATCCCGAACACCTGGTAGAACTCCTCGGGGGACAAGTGTCGCTGAAGCCAAGGGAGAAAGCAACGTTTAGCCCGTGTGCAGTCATACAGACGGACCTCATAAAGGTCATTAAGCTCTGTGACGCCAACCGCCAAACCTCCGAGAAACAGCTCGCTCTGGGTCTGACCAAGATAATCGGGTTCTTAAAGCTGAACAGTGGGATGGTGCAAACAGAGTGCAGTAAGAGAGAAGGGCTTAAGCCTTCTTCCTTCAGAAATATCAGCGCTGGCACATGTGGATCCTGAGTTATGGTGAGCACTGGCCTAATCAGAACTGTTTTCTCACCCCAACCCCACCCCCACAAGCAGCACTTACTGTTGGACCTGCGAACACCCGGACTCACCTCTAACCTAGCTCTGTCCACATCCTTTGGCAGCCGGTTGCGCCCCCTAGTGGTCACTATTAAAGTTTCGTAGGGATAAATCTGCAAGGGAAGGCAGGAGGGTCACTGATCAGAGGACAGATGAACACGGGCCTCTGGGCACTCTAATTAACACAATGTATAGAGATGTACTGCTTACTAGGCAGGGGGTTATTATTCATCACATCCTGTTTAGTAAACAGTGAGACCTGTTCATCTTCTGTATGAAATATTTAAATGCATTCTCTGTAGTTTTTAAATCTTGCCTTAGAACCTGTGTTCTGTACGGCTGTTACTTAATTATCTATTTATTTTGATTTCCCCGTTATATATGTTTTCATTGTATTTTGTGTTTGCTAGACTTTTGTTACATGCATATGTAAAGTGAAGTGCCTTGAGAATGCTCTGGATTGAAATAATAATAATTGCTTGCACTTAAATAGTACTTTTCTGGTCGCTCCACTCAAAGCACTCTACAGGTCATGGGGATCCCCTCCACCACCACTAATGTGCAGCCCCACCTAGATAATGCGACGGCAGCCATAGTGCACCAGTACCCTCACCACACACCAGCTATCAGTGGGGAGGAGAACAGAGTGATGAAGCCAGTTCAGAGATGGGGATTATAAGGAGGCCATGATTGGTAAAGGCCAGGGTGAAATTTGGCCGGGACGCCAGGGTAACATTCCTACTCTTTTTGAGAAATGCCCTGGGTTTTAAAGATCATAGGCAGAATCTCCATTTCATGTCTCATATGTCTGAAAGGGTCTATATAAGAACAGGATTAATTGTATTACCCATTGTGCTGTTTTTTTTTTAATTTCAACAAGTTAAGGTTTGACCCCCGACTTCTACAGAAAACACTGTTTACTGCATGTACAACAGAGCCATAGTTACCTGCGAGACACCATTGTACGAGCTATTACTATGTTACATAAGCAGCCATGAATGAATACTTCTGGTAAATATTCAGGTTCATTTAAGAAATAATAATATTTGGATTCATTAAAAGGAAGGTGAGAATGAATTACATTTTCAGGCTGTTGGCTAAAACTGATGTTGAAGCTGGCACCAAAAAACTAAGTGTTACTTAAAAAAATAACTTTAATTGACCATTCCTGACACGTCTTCCTGTCCCATCTTTATCTGGATAGTCATCAGAGTGACTCTTACAGCCAGACAAACTGTAGATGCTCGCCAAGATTGACTGCTCAGACTGTGTGGATTTACTCTTCTTCCCTGTGCTGTTCCTAAAGTCACTAGAGCTTGACAACAAGACAGTAGCAGCCATTACTCATGCTGAGCACCCTAACTGACCCTAAGCAGGGAGTCAGCTCTTAAAGACCCTGGGCAGTGTGTCAGCTCTTACTGACCCTGGACAGGGCATTAGCCCTTACTGACCCTGGGTAGGAAGTCGCCTTTTAGTGACACTGGACACTGTGTCAGATCCTACTGACCCTGGGCCGTGTGTTAGTCATTACTAAGCAACAAATGTTAAAAAATCAGACAAACACACACAACCGCATTTTGTAGCCCTTCAGTCAATAGATCCCCAGGGCTTAGTGTAGAAAGTGTTCTTCAGCCTGTGGAGCTCCTACCAGTACTCGCAAGATCCTCAGACCTTACCTTTGGTGTCCCCAAGCTTGAATTTACATTTGGCTAATTTAGTTAGAAATGATTGTACAATCTCAGTCACAGCTCTCTGCTCTGAAGTGTTTTTTACTGTGAATGTGGTTAAAAAAGTGCTTCAAGACACCAAGAACAAAATGAGTGAAAGATGAGTCCACTGCTGCTCACACAGCAATGACAAACGAGAATAAGAGTGGGCAAAGTGTAGGTCAAGCCCTGCTGAAAGGTCTTTAAACGGTGTCTCGAGAGGCCGGCAGGTGGCAGACGTCTGTCTTTTTGCAAGTGGATTGGCTCCTCTTCCAAGCGCACTGTCTTACCTTGTATTCTGTGGGGGAGACACAAGCACAAAGAAAAAAAAAAGATGACTTCAAGCTTAACTCCCAGCAATGGTGATCGAATCTGTGTTTCACTTTGCCGGACTAAGGCCATAATTTATATAAAACTGCGGGAGGTTAAAAGATAACAACAGGACAACTTGTTGTGATGGAACTTCTTTCTTGCTCAACATCACATCTGGTTCCAACTGTACAAGCCAGGCTGCCTCGTTGTAAGGATGAATACCGAGATGAGGGCTTGCATTCATGGACGAGAGAGTGGCAGCTGGGATATTTCATATATATGCTCATATATTTCTCGTTATAACTTAGCAATGTTGTCATAAAAGAAGATTAACTAAATAGCTGAATGACTTTGATACCTGTTGGAACAGGGTAACTATTTTACACACCTTTTGCTGCACCTTATTTTCCCACTCTGAATGGATACGAGCTCATTTCACAAGCCAAGGACTGAATAAAAAGCACAAAAATGACTCCTTTTATTCTGCCTGCCTTGTTGGGTTTTATACCGTGCCTTCAGACGTTTAGAGTTTATCTTCAGGAAACAGGACGTGCTGATATTCAGCCCGATAACCCTTCTCTCATCTGCCTTATCCCCCAAAACAAGCCTTTACCTCTGATTCCCCAGTTCACTGCGTTGCTGCTGTCGTACTGGAAGTAGTCAGCGCTCTGGGGCTGAAAAACAAGAGACAGCAGATGTTTCTGTCGGAAAATCTCCCAGGGCAAGGGGACGAGAAACCCTGCACTGCCTGTGTGGCACACAGCTTACTTCAGCCTGAACAGAAAGGCAGAGGTCCTGTAGCTGCTCGGCAGGAACCCTGTTCCTTTCCTTTTCATTCACACTGAGACAGCCGCAGGACAATCAATCAGCTTTATTTTTTTAACGTGCTATTTTTTAGCGGCTGCTAGAGAAAGGGGTCTCTGGAGGAATAACTCTGAAGGTTGGGGCGCATTGTGTGGTACTTGACCGGGGGC